CATTGATATATATCGTAATCTACTGTAAAAAATTCAATTAAAAACTTACAGACTATTGCGGTGACACGTATTAGTTTGTATTGACATTATCGTTGATTTATATCGTAATTTACTGTAAAAAATTCAATTAAAAAACTTACGAGCTATTGCGGTGACACACAGGATGTAGTTAGTGTTATTTTGTATTGGCATTATCGTTGATGTATATCGTAATTTATTGTAAAAAATTCAATTAAAAACTTACTATCTATAGTGACAGGCAGTATATAGTTAATGTTAGTTTGTATATTGTAATTTACTGTAAAAAATTCAATTAACAAACTTACTCGCTATAGTGACACACAGTATGTAGTTAATGTTAGTTTGTATTAGATGTATATCGTAATTTACTGTAAAAAATTCAATTAAAAAACTTACGATCTATAGTGACATGCAGTATGTAGTTAATGTAATCATTGACGTATATCGTAATTTATTGTAAAAAATTCAATTAAAAAACTTACTCTCTATAGTGACACACAGTATGTAGTTAATGTTAGTTTGTATTAGATGTATATCGTAATTTACTGTAAAAAATCCAATTAACAAACTTACTCGCTATAGTGACACACAGTATGTAGTTAATGTTAGTTGGTATTGGCATTATCGTTGATGTATATCGTAATTTACTGTAAAAAATTCAAGTAAAAAACTTACCGACTATTGTAGTGACACGCAGTATGTAGTTAATGTTAGTTTGTATTGGCATTATCGTAATTTACTGTAAAAAAAATTCAATTAAAAAACTTACCGACTATTGTAGTGACACGCAGTATGTAGTTAATGTTAGTTTGTATTGGAATTATCGTAATTTACTGTAAAAAATTCAATTAAAAAACTTACTATCTATAGTGACACGCAGTATGTAGTTAATGTTATCGTTGATGTATATTATAATTTACTGTAAAAAATTCAATTGAAAAACTTACCGACTATTGCGGTGACACACAGTATTTAGTTAATGTTGGTTTGTATTGGCATTATCGTTGAAGTATATTGTAATTTACTGTAAAAATTCAATTAAAAAACTTACCGACTATTGCGGTGACACGCAGTATGTAGTTAATATTAGTTTGTATTGGCATTATCGTTGATTTATATCGTAACTTACTGTAAAAATTTCAATTAAAAAAACTTACAGACTATTGCGGTGACACACAGTATGTAGTTAATGTTGGTTTTTATTGGCATTATCGTTGATGTATATTGTAATTTACTGTAAAAAATTCAATTAAAAAACTTACTCGCTATAGTGACACGCAGTATGTAGTTAATGTTTAGTTTGTATTGGCATTATCGTTGATGTATATCGTAATTTACTGTAAAAAAATCAATTAAAAACTTACTCGCTATAGTGACACACAGTATGTAGTTAATGTTAGTTTGTATTAGCATTATCGTTGATGTATATTGTAATTTACTGTAAAAAATTCAATTAAAAAACTTACCGACTATTGCGGTGACACGCAGTATGTATTTAATGTTAGTTTGTATTGGCATTATCGTTGATGTATACCGTAATTACTGTAAAAAATTCAATTAAAAACTTACTCTCTATGGTGACACGCAGTATATAGTTAATATTAATTTGTATTGGCATTATCGTTGATGTATATCGTAATATACTGTAAAAAAATCAATTAAAAAACTTACCCTCTATAGTGACACACAGCATGTAGTTAATGTTAGTTTTTATTGGCATTATCATTGATGTATATCGTAATTTACCGTAAAAAATTCATTTAAAAACTTACCGACTATTACGTTGACATGTGTGGTTGTGTTATTGATCTAGCTTTAACTGTTCAAGGGATCAAAATTTACAAATACAATCATACATACAATTTTTCAACTGATTTATAAGCTTCTGTTGCCCATGTATCTTTTGGTTTAAATTTTAATAATTTGCCCAAGTCAGCAATTGATTCGTCATAGTTTTTCATTATATAATTAATTTCTCCTCGATATCTTAGTGCTGTTATATTATCCGGATCAATTTCCAACGACCTAGTTAAATCTTCCAATGCTTTATCAAATTCACCCATAATAAAAAATACTTTTCCTCTATAGTTTAATTCAAATACATTGTTTTGCTTTTTTTCTACTGATTTTGTTAATTCGCCTATTAAATTAACCAACACGTTTTCGTATCCACCCATAATGTAATAAATCTTTTCTTGATATTCTAATGCTAATGCATTATTTGATTTTTTACTAACATCTTCATTAGACATTGCTTAAATTGAAATGTACATATAGACCAAGTTAAATTTTAAATAAGTAAAAACGATTGAATTCTTTGGCAAATTTACCAGAATATTTGAATGTTTCATGGCCAAAATTTACTTCTACAGACCCGTCTTGTGATCTAAATCCGACACAAGGATATAGAATGCCTTTCCAATAGTCAGAATTGTCAGGAAGATTGCACGCAATTCCTTCAAATATGTTATAAATGTTAAATTTATACCAAATCTGCTTTGAAAATATAAAATTTCCTAAGTGTTAAATTACCCAAGTTAATTCCATTTTTAGTATAAGATATCATCTTTTTTATGAAATTTAAATAGCATCCAATAATGTCGCCAGTAGTATATGTTGGACCATACGGTTCACCGTTTCCAGAACAAAAAGAATATCCATCATCACCATGGTAACCACACTCCCACATCTCATTGTTCTCAGGTGCTTGTCCTAAGGAATATTATGGTATTGTGTTAATCTATAATAATAATAAAAATGATATAAAAAAGCTTCTATTACCAAGCATAAGCATGTCATTTATATAATCTGTATTTTTATTTGAATAGCTTAGGTCTCTATCGATTTGCTTTGTACAATACCCGGCTCCAATCATTCTATCAAGAAATAAAATAAAAACTATAAAAAAAATACGGGTGTGTTTATGACAGGAAATAATTAACATACCCATTTTTTCCTTTATTTATAATTTTAATCTCAAAATAAAATATCCCACACTGTGAAGGAATTGGATGATTTGCTCGAATTATAACAGCTTTATTTTCATCTGGATCTTTAAAAAAGTTAATGAAATGAATAGTTATATATTATTCTTTAGTTAAACAAATGATTAAGAATTATTAATCGAGATATTAATTTAATATGTTGCTGTGCGATTTCTCTTTTTTCATTTTTATCTTACCAGTATAATTAATTTTCAATCCACCTAAATCTATGTTAATAAATTGTGAATTATTTTCAATATCCCATGCAGTTGGTAAAACAATATCATTAAATGGAGTTGTTAATTCTGAATTTTCCATTGCGTTAAAATTCTTTCAGGTCTTTCGTTTAGACGATTAGTAAACCGATTATGTACGAGTACAAGCATTTACTATCGATAAAATGCTATTTATGCATATGCAGTATCTGTACGACTACGTATTCAATAATACATTAACATCAAAGGTGAACAGAAGAATATGGTAAGTATCAGCATATAAATTGATACGTAGAAAATCAATATTTTTAAAATCCTCCAACTACTGCAAATAATAAATATACACATTTGCCACCATCACGTAGCACGGAAGGGCTGGGGAGCACCACAAGTGACGTATGTAGCAACGAAGTGTGTTAACTCTCAGGGACCGAATAATATAGGTGCCTATAGCCATCCGTTGATCTCCGCAGAATAACTGGTAATAAGAGATGTGAGAGAGATCCTAAGGTATTTAAGGATTTTCGGGATGCGGAGGGAGGTAAAAAAAAAAAAGTATATATATATATACTTGCGGTATAATATCGATATTGGTTATCATAAAAAAAAATTAAACTGATATTAATTTCGATGCCAGAATTAATTTAGGGTAAATTTTGGGGTTGTTTTAAATTTTAGGGCCTGAACAGAATCTGCCCTATATGATCGCCACCAAAAAAGTTTCGAACATCACGCGACAAATATATCGAGCACTAAAAATTCATTAACTTAACAAACAAATACAAACAAAAAAATTTAAGACTAACAGAATAATAGTGATAAATAATAAATTAATCATTTTATTTATTTCGAATAACTCAATAAATGTAATATTTATCATAGCCAGAAAGTATTATGATTACGGTTTTTCTAAGTATTTGGAATATTATATAAAAAAGTGCAATGATTTCTTAAGAAAACATAATTTTCTATCACGAACTTTTTCTTCTTCAACGCACATAAATGTTCAAGAAGTGTCTATTATGCAATCCTCTTTACAAGTAGATAATATTAAATGCAAATGCAAAAACGCGTGTGACAAAAATCATTGTGAATGAAAAAAATGTACACGGTGGGAATAGTAGCCATCCCACTAATCATAGATGCAAAAACTTCATGAAATGCTTTTAAATCTAACTAATGAATAATCTATTTTAAAGCTACTTAAATTCCAAAGCAAAGCACTTGATGAATCAATTTGGAATAGACTTAATTTTATTAATGACTCGGATACATTTTAGAATTCTATTATAACCATGTTTATTTGGAGTCAACCTAGGTGCATTCTATATCATCAAAAAATACTAGGATTCTGCAAGTGCCGGGCACGCAATATTAAAAATGGTGCCCAAGCCTGTTCCTGGCACTATATTTTAATAGTGCCCGTGCCTGGCATTTGCAGAACCCCCCAAAATACATAATTTAGTGATTAACAATAAGGTCCTATCCAACAAAATGTTGTGAAACGTTGATCGTAAATAGGCTATTAATTCAATAAAAGTTAAATTGGCTATACGTATATATATATACTTATTAATTATCATTTATCACAGATTCATAAGAGAAGTATTCTAAAGCTAGTTACTAGCTAACCTACTATAATCCGAAGTTCGATTGAATAAACGTTTGGTCATACGGCTATGTACATATATATCTTTAAGTTTCAAAACTTTCTTATAAATTGTATTACTTCGGATATCAAAATTTACTTAACTTTGCTTCTATTTTTTTTTTATAGAGAATGGCAACAATGTCCGTGGACTTTTCTAGTAAACTAGAGTCCTTAGTTAATAATGCTGTAAAAAAAGTTCAAGATAACCCAATCAAAAAAGTTTTTTTTGTTCTTGGGAATGAGTCTGCTGGTTTGCAATATTTAATATTTAAGATATGAATTGCATACAGAAACCAAATTATAGATCTTAAAAAAAACCTTTTTTTTTTTTTTTTGTAGATTTAGATTCCATTGTGGGATCAATATCTTATGCATATCTAAGTACTCAGTTTTGCCCTCTGAATACTGTATACCTTCCAATTATTCAAATTCCAAGATTTGATCTTTCATTACGTCCAGAATGCAATTTTATTTTTCAGAAATGTGAAATTTCTACTGCCTCTTTAATCTTTCTGGATGAAATTTCCGATCATCTTTATATTATTTCAAAATCATATAGTCTTAGCTTAGTCCTCCTTGATCATAATAAATTAATAGGAATCTGGAACCAGTTTGCAGATAAAGTTGATACAATTTTAGACCATCATCAAGATGAAGGTCTGTACCTTAATATTAAGGAACGATATATCGAAGGAGTTGGATCTGCTACTTCATTAGTAGTTTTGAAATTTAAAGATAAATGGGAAAATAATTTAAATGATAATAAACAAATTGATAAAGATACGCAAAATTGGGATAAAATAATTGCTAATTTATTATTATCTGCAATTTTGGTTGATACTGTTCTGTTAGACTTCTCACAAGGCAGAACAACTCAAAAAGATCAAGATGCTGTAGATTTTTTGCTAGATATATTACACCCTTCAGATCCAAAAACATTTATTAAAGATTATTATAATGAGATTCAAAATGCTAAATTTAACATCTCTCATCTTTCAAATTTTGATTTGTTACAAAAAGATTATAAAGAATATAATTTAGAATGGAACATAAAAAATGAAACAAAAATTTGTGTTATGGGAATTAGTAGTGTAGTATGGATATTAAAAGATTGGATTCTTCGTGAAGATGGTGTTGAGAAGTTTATGGAAACAGTTGGAAATTATATTCAAGAAAAAAACTTAGATTTGGAAATTATCATGTTAGCATTTGATCATAAAGGTGACCTGGGATTTAAAAGAGAAATGGTAATTTATTCAAAGAAAGGACCATTTTGTCAAAAAGAAGTTTTAGAAAGATTTGAAGAGATTATTGGATTAAATGAAATTAAAGATTTTAGAAATGTAAACAGTGATAGAGAAAAAGAGGAAAGTATAATTAAATGTTACGAACAAAAAAATATTTCAATGTCAAGAAAAAAGGTTTATCCCATTATTAAAAACATGTTTTTAGAAGCTTAGCAAATATAATCTCATACCAAGGTATGTTTTTTTTTTGATACAAGTTAATAAATTTATATTTTTTGCATAATAAATAATTATTTATTAAAAAAATTATATATTCATTATTTTAAATTTCCATAAATTATAATATTTTTATTAGAAGCATCTAACTGTAATCTTCATTAACCCCAAATAAACACATCTAACAGAATTCTTCACCCAACATTTTAATAAAGAACTCTCCAACTTTTGAAAAATAGTCTGGTTGTGAAACAGTATCGTAGTGCGACCCATTCTTTATTTCCTGAAACATTTTTCCACCGCTAGTATTAGCCAGTTCATATAAAGTTCTCATATGTTGGGGTGGGACAAGTTCATCATTTGAACCTGAAAGGAATAAAATTGGAACCGTTCGAAGTTTTGTTATATAACTATCAGATGGCCAAATTTCGGAACAAATGAAGGTTAAATAACGAAGTTTTGGGACTATGTGGGGAATCACTTTTGGCTATTGATTCATTGTTATTTCGATATTGATTAATGAGAGATGATATAAATTGCATAATAAAGTTGATTATATAAACTTACAATACTCAAAAAAGTATTTTCAACAATCAGCGCATCGACTTTAGATTCGTTCCTATAAACCAAATCGATTGCTACAGATGCACCAAGCGATTGTCCATATATGATTAATTTCGTATCTTTTAAAATTTTATCTTGCTTAATGTAATCAAGTGCAGCCTATTTTTGGATAAAACCTTAAGGTTAATAACTTAATATATTCTATAAAAAATTTAAAAATAATTTCATAATATTTACGAACCTGTGCATCTAGACGAAGTCCGCTTTCAGAAGGAGATCCGTCACTTTTACCATATCTACAAATAAAATTGGGTTAAAATTAGGTTTATTGAAAATAGAAATTTGGTTAATCTAAATTACGATGATTGCTCACCCTCTGTAAGAAACTAGCATAACATTAAATCGGAAATTCTTATAAAATTTTTCTGCAATTGGTAATCTATGACCCTATATTCAATTTCCTGTGAGAAAAGCAAATGAATCGGAAGAATCAACAGGATTGGCAAATTAAGAACCAAACCATACCATATTACCACCATTTCCCTATTTAAAGAAATAAAAAATTCTGTTAAAATTTTTCTTATCGTATAAGATATCATACAAACGAGCTTACATGAAACATTAATATGGTAGGCCTTGTACCAGCTTCATCAGTTCTTTTACAAACATAAGCACGAATCTTTACGTCATCATTTGTTTCTAAAATTACACTAATGTAAGGTATGTCATAATCTGACGGTTTTGGAACCTATAATTGTGTTTATAAGAATGTTTATAAGAATCGGTGAGGCAAATAAAATATCGAAATTAACATTCATGTGCATTTATTTACAATTGGCAAGAATATGTGAACTAACTATGCATATTTATTAGCATGTGATATTAATTTATCAGCTGCATATGTATTCACTTTTTCTCAAGAAAAAACCAAATTGCATAAACAACTCAATACAGTAATTTCGTAATTTTGGAAAATATATACATACATGTTTCCTGGATCCTTTAGGGTAATTAGCAGTATAAATCAAATTACATTGAAACGTATACAGTAATGCTATCCCACTAATTACTACAGTCGTGCTTCCAACTATCAAATATGGTAAAGCAGACTTTACAAACTGGCTAACTGACTTCTTGGAAAGGTGATGACTCATTTTTTTTTTCCAAGAAAATTGGAATAGGGTGTATGTATTACAATTTTAGTGTTACATGTATGTCAATGCACACCTAAAAGAGCTTTGTAACCAATGTGCTTTTTACGTAAAATTATTGCATCACAAAAAATTCTATAGCACTAGTAACAAATTTTACACCTATATTATCGTTTTTATAATGTAAGATATGTACATTACTATATTTTATAATGGAATTCATGCTCCCTTTATAAAATATCTATTGAGTCTGGAATAAGCACCCTGCTTATGAACTAAAAGTGAAATTAACCCACGTCCGGGCATTACAAGCGTTCCTATAAATTCTGAGACAAACTAAAAATTTGCTCGTTTCCTGAAATCTCTGGTTTTGTCCTAAATATTACCTAACCTTTCGGAAACTACGTCAAAGTATTGGTTGATCAAATTTTTAGTTGTTCCAGCATTTTTAAAACTGCAAAAAAAATTTTAGTTCAGCGGAACTTCCGGAATGGTATTTGAAAATCTAGGTGTCATTTTACGCTGTTTGCAAGTCAAATAACAAATCTTCTCAAACTTTGGAGTGCATTCTGGCAATTCATCATTGAATAACATTACTAGAATTATGATCTGGTTAAAAAACATGTATTCGAATATTCATTAAAAAAAATACTAAATGAATTTTCGAATGTTCGCCAAATCTTCATTAAACATTATAATAAAATTGATTTTGTGCGGTTAAGATTAACAATTATTCCCTGGTTCTTCTCGAATCTCAGATTCTGACTGATTCGGATTTCTTTTGGTTATAACTTGAGATGCTGTAAAAATTGCACACTAAGAAAAAATAAAAGTCTTCAATAAACTTTATAACATACATCGTATTTTATTAATTAAAAAATAGTATAGAAGTATATAATACTCTCTTAAATTAATCGAATAATTCTCCAATGTGCTCTTTTATCTAATTTTGTTTTTTTTTATAAACATCCTTCTCACCTTATTCTATTACAGACATATTTTTTTTCTTCTTTACCTACTATTCTGATCTAAGTCCTAGCATCGAATAATCTGACACTCTTCTGAATACAGGCACAATACAAGCACTAAAATTATTAGTTGTATGTTTTTGGTATTTTTTAAGATCCTACATAGAGTTTGGAACCGGATTCACTTTTTAAATCCGGATTTATTTAATTAGTAAAAATCTGCGTTGAATTTTAACGTTAATTCTACAAATCCTATTGTTTCTGCATGTGCGTTTTCTCTTGTAACTAGCTTTTTTTTTTTACAGGTTTGCTTTATTTAATATAAAAGGCAGGACATCACTTTTTTGCAAGTTTTATTGCATTATGGTAAAAATTTTTGATCTTCTTTTTGACTAATATAAATTGAAAATTTATTATTATAGCCAAAGGTAAATATTATTATTAAATACACAATTTCTTACTTTATTATTTATGTCCTTTCAATATATTATGTTTTTCCTATAAGTGACTGGTCAGATTTGTAGTCATATCTTCTTTATGACTATAAGAATAGGGTTCTTTTATTGCATTAGTGAGATTTTTATATACTATGCAATAAGTGATATTATTATCATTAGGATTTTGAAAAAAAATAAGTCATATGATTTTTATTAATATCATTACTACTATTGTTTTTATTTTTATATTTTTTACAATTATTTGTAGGGTTTGAACTTGCTGGAATTAACATTCCAGTTTCAGTAAGAGAAGAATTTAGTTTATTAATATAAAGGTCCAAAGAAGAAGTAAAAAAAGATGTCATTTTGCAAATACTATCATATTTACTTTTTTTTTTTAAATGTTAAGGTAAGTACATGTGACCCAGAATTTTACTGATAGTATAAGTTGGTCAGCATCTGTACATGTACAGACGCAGAGGCAATTACAGAAAGAGTGTACAACTAGCCACTTATACAACTTTAGTCATTGTCTAATTTAAGTAGTCCACCTGAAGGTTCTACGCTAGTTGCTATACCTAGAATCCACCTGTAGATCCTCTATTTAAACACTCTGATCCTGCATCCATCACACCCTATTAATGACTCCAGTAAACTGGTGAAGATATGTCATGATCACTAAGTCATATTTAACTTTGTACTAAACCTACTAGTGCATTCTGTATCCTATACTTACAGCTCACTCAGTCATGCTTTGGCTTAAACTATCACTTGCAGTCAGGGTTAACTATTAAGTCACTTTTACCCTTGTAAGGTTCACCTAAAACCCTGGTATCCATCTTTCCAACATCCTTTCTGTCATCCCCTACTAACCATTACTCAGGACCAATAGGAGTTCCTGGACTTTCAATCCAGATGGTCTGGTATGGTATACTTTAGTATTCTTTTTTTTTGGTGATTCTGACAGCCTGGTTGGTCATATGCTCCTCTACATATCTTGTCATCTGGTTTATCCACCTATCCCTTTGGGAGTATTTTATGAACTTCTATCAGTCTGACAATACCATTGAAAGTTTTGTACTATCTCCTTACTCAGGATTTCCAAGTGGGTTTTCGACTCTTTAGTTCTTTTGCTTTCCATGCCTGGTGGTCTTATCATGGGTTTGCACTGAAGTCTTATACAACACTGGTTATTAATATTTCTCTATGTAGGTGTAATATTACATTTAGCATAGATGTCTCAAGCTTCCATTCGAGATAGTATAACAAAGATTACAGATACACCAATCCAACTGATTGACAGAGACAGTTACTGTAACATAGACCTATTTTCCAAAATTCGTTATCTATAGAATTTGAACTCTAGACTTATCACTTGAAGGTTGACAACCTAACCACTTCACTAGGTTACTACACTCTTACTATTATATTTACTTATTTACTATATTATTTATATATAATTAAAGTTATAAGTACCTACTTTATACAACAAACACACTGTTATCCTATATCTACTTCTTTTAAGATAGTAGGTAACTAGAGCGACCTTAGACAGTGAACACTTTTTGTAACC